TAGGAATCCACCTGAAGAAGCCAGCCAAACCTGTGTGTTCAGAAGAAATTTGTACAGCCAATTTCCTTACCTTCCTTGGCCGTCGTTACATGAATCTATAAACCGGACTACTTCGCCCCCTCCCCCTAAACCTTTAAAATTATAAAAATTATAATTGTCCAAATTATTTTATTATTTTTTCTGACCACTTCATCTTTAATTACGTGTTATCCTGGTGAAATTGATTTATTCTAACCATTTCTACCTTTTAACTGTGTGTATTGATTTTCTTCGTTAATTATCACCCCACTGCTTGACATGTTGACACTGACTGACAAATTAGTGTTAACAAACATATCAGTGCCACTTGATGATTGGTAAACTGTTGTGTATTGTAATAAAAGGTGCTATAGGTGTAAATTAGAGTAGAGCCAGAGTGAGATGAGGATCTAATTGAAAAGTAAATATTTCTTCCTGCTCAATCTTTCTGTTTTTTAAATGTCTAAATGGGGACTTTTTCTATATTGAAATCTAGATTGGTTGACGCGAATCGGATAAGAAATCTAGAGAGCAGTTCAGCTATACCACTCACTACATGCAATTACACACAATCATACAATAAGATGGACGGGATAAGATGACAGTTTTAAAATCTAATGAAACAGGGTATAGGGAAGCTTTGTTTATCGAATCAACTGTGAATAAGTGTAACAGGAATGATTCAACACCTGTCCAGTTGGACATCTGGAGAATTCTATTACCTCAACAACGATAAATAGGACAGAAATCTTTCTGACTGACTGGTTAGTGTAAAAAAACAAATTAAATTACAGGGCAAACTATATAAACAGACAGATGGTGTAGCGATGGTATCGCCAATATCCCCTTTCGTAGTAGATATCTTTATGCACAGCTGGGAAACTGCTGCTCCTAATACATTCGATCCTACTTCCAAAATATGATGGAGATGTGTGAATGACATTCTCACAAGGTTTCTGAGGGTCCTTCCTTGTATGTATGGAATTACTACTGATGGTTTAGATTTCTTATTGTTGGTGTTGTCTTGCGCACATTTGACTTGCGTGTAGTCATTAATATTGTTATTATTATCACTATCAATACTATTATTATTTATTATATTTTTACATTTACTTACATATTTCTTGACTAATTTATCCGGGTGATTATTAGGTTTCAAGGCTTCTTTTATGTGTATCACTTCGTGTCTTAAATTTTCCTTGGTACTACTTAGATTTTGTTCGAAACCTCATATGTCGGTTTGCAGGCTTTGATTGGTTTCAGGATTTCATCATGAACTGTCATCGGCTAGAAGACCATTAGAATTTCCAGTAGTACTAGACACAGTTGTTTCGTACTAGTTTTGCAATCATCGGCAGTACGCATCCACCTGCCAGGGTTCGAACCCAGAAGCACCTGGTTACTAGCCCAAGCTCTTAAACCATTTAGCCACTGGGAGCTGATTGAATGGCCACCTCATGTATCATAACTTCAGCCATTTCATGATCATTTAATCACGACCGGCATCAACCAATGTCATCAGTGGGAACTCCATCCTCACTCCCCACTGAATGGACCTCACCAGTCGACTCTTGAAAATAAAACTTTTAGTCACTGAAAGCAGGTAAATATAATTTCTTTGCAAGTATTGGTTTCGCAGGGATTTTGTTTGATTACATGGAGGATTTCATCATGAGCTGACATCAGTTAGAGAACCACTGGAAAACCTGGTAGTATTGGACAGCTGTTTCGTCTTAGTTTGGGGTTCATCAGCAATACGCACCAATCGGGGTTCGAACCCAGGACCTTCTGGTTACAAGGCGAGCTCAAAGACGATTAACCCTCTGGGACCCGATCCAATAGCCACTGGATGAATTATAACTTCTCCGAATTCAGGACATAGCGTGACCACGAGCCAATGTCTTCTTCGATGAGTAACTGCCTGACCTTCAACCTAATGTACTCTACTGGTCACGGCTTCCCACTAGAACCCCAGATTAATTGCCTGAATAGAGTAAGTCGCTAGTGAGCATGATATTAATATGCAAGTATTGGTTTTGTAGGAATTTTGTTTGATTGCATAAGTTCCTGGTTTCGAACCCCGATGGGTGTGTACTGATGAAGAGTCCCAAACTGGGACGAAACAGCTGTCCAATACTACCAGGTTTTCCAGTGGTTCTCTAACTGATGTCAGCTCATGATGAAATCCTCCATGCAATCGAATATAATTTCTGTCAATTATTAAATTACATTATTTATAATAATAATAATAATTAGTCATTTGTTGTAGTCATGGTAACACGATAAAAAAAGTTAATTGAAATTATTTTGATCTTTCGGTTTTGTTTTTTTCTTTCTCTCTCTCTCTTTTCAGATTTTAACTTTCATCTAGAATTGACATTCATCAGAGAATTACTAAAAATTAGGAGAAGTTTTATTGAACAACTGTTTCAATTAAAGTGGGACTTTGAAGTTTCATTGGGGGTGGTGATGGTGTTATTTTTCCCCAGGCTGGGGTTAACAACTCCAGGTGGCCTGCTTTAAACTTAGGCTACCGAAAAACTTCCATCCCTCTCTATTGTATTGTACTTTCTCTCATTCAATCTGTTGTTTTAATCGATTAACATATGACTTCTAATAGGAGTATTATCTAATCTTATGTGTATTTAAAATGTTTACAAGCTCCTGATTGTGGGGAGGGGGCGGCAACGTGTTCCAATACATGAGATAAATTGTCGGTATTTTTTTTTTGATTTACAGCTTGATTCCACACTGTATTTTTGATACAAGTATGGAATTTTCAGCATGGATATCGGTAGCCCAAATTTTGCAGGCCGACCATAGATATCAGGTGTGCGTCGGCGTGGGCTCGAACCCGGACCATGTGCATGGTCGGCGAGATTCCTAACCACTGTGATTGGAGGCAATCGGCAGCAAGCCTAGGTGTGCAGTCAAAAATATCCAATACAGTCAGTTCTATAGGAGGTCAGTGGTAACGTCTCTGACTGCAGCACTACATTGGGTGAATCTCAGAAAGAGGGAAATGAGTTCCTTCAAGGTGACTGCATATACGCCTTGTTGACTAGTGAGTGCCAACTAGCACGAAACCTAAGTCAATCAAGCAAGGTTTCCTGTGGCCGATTGCCTCCAACCATCGAATACCAACAGTTCACAGTGCACCGTAATGGCGAGCTAGCCACCTAGTAGCATGGTGGCCACATTGCAAGCATGACTGATAGAATTCAGTCTGCAGCGATAATGGGACTAGACACATTACACTAGTACACTAGAACATCTTACAATTGGCTTTTAATTAGATCAATATCGTGGATTTCTTGAAGGTAGGCGACAAAGCAGGTATATCATCATAATGGACTGCTTTGTGCTTCAGCTCAGAGACCACTGTGTGTGTGTGTGTGTCACAGGATATACCGTCAATTTTACCTGAAGATGTTGTACGAAGGCGGGGGCCGGGGGGGGAGGGGAATATCATGCAATGAACTCCCCTGACAATTCTGTACATTTTGTATATATTTATTATACATGCTATAGAATTAGGCCACAAAATTGACAATTTTGACAATATTGAAATCATCGTCCAGAAAAAGCATTTCAGAAGTCACAAAGAACTTCTAATATCATCGGAAGCACTTCATATCATCATTAAATGGAATCCAAAATTTATTTGAATATGAATGATGGACTAAAACAGAATTTGACCTGGTTACACAACACCCTACCACCCCACTCCCCATAAAATGACAAAATCAACACGAAGGTGATAAACAATTTCAACATGTAAACACGCATGCTGCTTTTATAATTTTGTACACTTATCAAATCCAACAGTAATCTACACCTGGTTTTGTTATCTTTACCAATTGGCCAGTTTGACAACAACGCAAGAATAACTCTGTGCTGAGGAAAGATGATTAACTTGTTATATATTATAAGCTGAGATTTTATAAATTCTGGTTTAATATTACTACTTTGATAAAGCTGTTAGCAGCAGCATTAAATAGTGAAACGTCAGTAAAAAGCAGCAGCAATATCGTTTTGTTTTTCATTCATGCATTGGGAAATACAAAAAACAACCTTTATCTATAATGATTATCATATACCCAATGCCCATTTTTTTCAAACTGTTAAAAGTGAACTTGGTTTGGACACATATAAACGCCCTGTGTTCACACATAATCTTAAATAAAGCCCCATTATTATTATTATATTATTATTATTATCAGATTCTTATGTTCAGTTAATCTAACTGACCACGATCTACCAGTCTGACTTATTCAACTAACATCATTATATGGTATTTTGTAAATTGTATTATTTTACCTCAGTGGTCTATGAGATTCTTAAGTGGAGAATCATTTATCTTTGACGCCTTAATTCCAGTCTTATCGAAAATCCCAGTTCATCTGTGATTCCTAGTTCAGAAACATTAAACTACAATACGTAAGCTGCCCCTCCCCCTATCACAATAAAACCTACCGGTAATCACTTCTTAATAGAATTTTTCCTAACCCACCTTCAGATTCTCCATAGTGATGAAAATGTTAAACACAGTTAAAGAGTATAAAAGTGTTGGTTTGTAGGGATTTGATTGCTTACAGGATCTCATTATGAGCTGACATCATTTAGGGAAACTCTGGAAAACAACCTAGGAGTACTGGACAGCTGTTTCGTTCTAATTTGGCACTCATTAGCAGTACGAACCCACCGGGATTCGAACCAAGCACCTTCTGGTTACAAGGCGCGAGTTCGTAGACCATTAAGCCACTGGGAACTGATCCAATGACCAGCCCATGAATTCTAACTTCTGCACCCTACTGGTCACGACTTCTCACTAGATCCAGGTTTTCTTATGTTTCTCTAACAAATGTCAGCTCATGATGAAATCCTGTGACAGTCGAAGAGTCCCGAACATGGACGAAACTTACTGACTAGCTAACATATCCGAAATTCAAACATAAATCAATAAAAATTGACAAACTTACTCCATTTTGATGACTTCTACTCTGATGATGAATTCGATGTGACGGCTGTGATGTTGATGTTGATGATGAGGAGGCGGATGAATCAGGTGGATCATTTGTTTTAATTTTGTTTAAATTCGCTCCAGCTCCAGTGATTGTAACTGGCATACTTTGTTTATCTAAATTCAATTGACTTCTACTGTTATGATGATAATGAGTGTTATTCATATAATTTCGATGATCCAGTCTTTGTTTCATCGTCTCTAACAAATTACTTGTATGATTTAACTTTTGATTATTTTTATGGTTAATGAATGAATATTTTTCAATGTTTTCAATATTTTCATGTTGTTTCGCTTTATTGTAATCATGATGTTTTTGTGTTGTTAGACGGTCATTTAAAGAGCTTGCCCTTTGACGTACACGTGGCATTAATTTTCCTGCACCCTGGGTATCAGGATTTAACATCATTTGTCTCCAACGTGGATACTCTTCCTGTTGATGTTGTTGTTGTTGTGTAAATGATACGCCTGAGGTTGATGATGTCGGTGACTCGACGACAGCTGATGATGATGGTGGTTTAACCCCAGCACCGTCTTTTTGATTCCATAATACTGATGTCTTCATTGAACTGTTATTATTATTATTATTATTATTACTGAATTGATTTTTGAACGATAACTTTTTATTTTGATACTGTTGACAATTTAAACCTTTAAATTGTTCAATATTCCAATGATTATTGATTGATTTCCAAAATTCTATTGGACATTGAACATGTAGGGATAAATAAAATGCGCGTTTTTAAAATTGAATTCATTTTGCAAATGAATAAGCGTAACAAATAAGAGTAACTCTTTGTAATAATAATATCAAAATGTAAAATAAAAAAAACATTCGACAACTAATGTTAGGAAGTAAAATCAACTTAATCCAATCAACCTTTTTCTTTTTTTTTCGAGGTCATTCATTCATCCCTTCCCCTAAATGATGAATTTGACCTCTCAAAACTGTCGAAGGTTAAGTGTATGCGCAATGGCACGGGAGAGGCTGGGAGGGAGGGAGAGATTACAAACCCCGTTGAGAGATAGATAGATAGACAGACAAGGATTCACACCATACCACAATTCAGACACCTGATATGATTGCTTCAGAGATGCATCTGTTTATGTGTTAATCTGTTTGTGTGTTTTTTGTATGTGTGTCTGAATTACACTAATGGCCTGCCTAGTGTTGTATCTTCACCTTTCTGTGGGTGTATGAGTCATCTTTACTTTGGTCGGTGGTCATAATGGCATTCCACTTCATTTCTTTTCCCCAAGCGAAAGGTTAATCAAATGAAATGGAATTAAGGTAAGGGAAGAAAGAAGGTTAATCGAATTCATAATATGATTATTGCTGAATAATTGATTTTTTTTCTAAAATGTGTTGGTCAACACATTTTGTCGTAACATGTGCAATAATATTAATAATAATAGTAATAATAATAATGAAGATGAACATGGTGCTAATTGAATAATAATTACTCTATATAGAGCGACTAAGAGTCGCGTGGATAAACACACATACACAGGCTAGCGGTACGGACACACAACACGTCAGTGCATGTGTATAAGTGTATGTATGTGTAGATAAGTGAAAATTAAAAGTAATTCAAGTAAATACATATGTCCTTCTTCCATGAATTAATTGTCCAATCAGGATAGAGTTTGTTTTCGGTTATATGGGCAACTAGAGGGTACATCGATAGACAAACACATACACAGGTACGTACATACATACACGTAGACTTGCAGACACACACACACACAGACACACATGTCTATGTGTATAAACTCTATGAAACTAAATGTTAGACATATATGTATGGTGAAGTTATGCAAATTATTTTGGTCGAATCCAGGATAGGATGGACATTTCGTCCTAATTTGGGACTCATCAGTCGAGCTCATTTGCAATCTCAGTAAGACTTGAACTCGTTATATCATCAATTGAAAACAACAACGCATCAATCTTTAGACCACTGGAAATCAGGAGGCAGTTAGTAGGATATTTCATAAAGGTGCAGCAGTGACTCTATCTACGATCAGATTGGTCACCTGGGACAAGTTTTTTGTAGACGGTAGCTTTAGATAGAAATGACTTGATTTTACATCACATCTGTAGATTTCTGTCTAATATTCATTGGTTTTTTAATGGTTTCTAGGGTAATTTTCATCGACTGGTCGGTGATGGTAGCTCTCCGCTCCTGTTTGTCTATGGATCAAAGTCCTCCGTTTGGGTGGTAGATGTGACCTTTGAATGGAGAACTTAATTAGCGATAAATTCATCATTTGTGTAAAAGTTCTCTACTTATTTCCATTTAAGTAGTGAGTAGAATTAAAGTTATTCTTTTTGAGAACATGTAACTGAACCTTCAGTCATGAGAGCTTGAAAGGCTGTATTCTACTCAAGACCCAAAGGAATGAAGAGAAAATAAGACATACAATACTTACAACCACTCCTCTCCTTCTCTTACCAAAAGAACTACCTTCGAAACTCTGACTTTCGCTGCTGATCAATGAAAACATTCTTGGCAAATGTTTTTGCTGTAGTTTGTTTGGCGATGATCCGAGAATTTCACCTCTAACACCGCCATAGAAATGCCCCCCCCTGTCAAAAACCAACAAAATAGAACCGAAGTCCTATTCCATGCAAGAATTTCTAGGTACAAAGGCCTGCCTTGAGCACTCAAATTTGTTCAAAGTAAAGATGCTGTTCACTTTCAAAATCATTTACCGCATACCAACAAATCTCAATTTCGCCTTAAGAGTTCGACTACTATATATATTGCTGAGGCTGGCTGTTGGGATCCACATTAAGAAGCTAGTTGAGACCGTATCCTTACCTTATCCATCTAGGTTTGAATGATCCTCAATTTCTTGTAGAAATTTCCCTAATTTTAGTTAGGATACAATTGGTGGATGGTGGCTAGCAGTGGAATCTAGGATGCGCATTTCGTCCTATTTGGGACTCGTCAGCTAGCTGGATATACCTGCATTTCTCAGTGAGTGATGATGTTCCCACCGAGGCTCGAACTCAGTGCCCATAGTTTCAAACGCCAAAGCGTTATCCACTAGACCACTTGGGCCACGAGAGCCACCTCTTGTGCAACGGGTCATATTAATTATTGAATTGGATTTTTTGATTTTCCCGTCGATTGATTGAACCGAAGTGCTCGGTCTCATTTAGTTAACTAAATGCCCAGACATCGTCGAAGCATCTGCACAAGAAGCCGACAGACATGTCAACCTGAGACCGAGCACTTCGGTCCAATCAATCGACGGGAAAATCAAAAAATCCAATTCAATAATTCCCTAATTTTAGTTGATATTCTATTTGTTACTATATCTTTATTATTATTATTATTATTAATAAATAATAAATAATTTTTCCTTCACGTTCCCAGTGGAACATAGGGCTCCAAGCTAGTGGCTTGAAGTTTCTGTAGCAGTGTTTGATTTTTACAGGATGGGGTTGCTAGCCTCATGCCCAACCTTTCCTCTCTACCAGGGTTATTTCTGGCTCAGTGAGGTAAAGGAGTGCGTTGGCGGCCGGGAGTCGAACCCCGGACCATACGCATGGTCGGCAAACCCCCTAACCGCTATACCACCGACGCATTATAATTATTATTATTTGAGCATATTTAATGAAATGTGATTCCACTGTGATCTTACTTCACAAATCGATAAAAAGCACGCTAATATGTGTTATTGACTACCATTCTCGAATATTCTATGTATATAAAAATGCACATATATATAATTGTAGAGCCAGAGGAGGAGGAATTTATCGAAAGGGGGATATTCTTTGCTCACCTATTTTGTGTTTTTTAAATAGTTAGACTAACATCATGTTGGCTGGCACCAAAGGGGATAAGATGAGTGTGACCCATGCTGGTCGATACTTATGTATATATGCATTCCTTCATTGCCTAACAGTGTACATATATATATATATATATAATATTAAGAATAAAAAGCTAACTGAATGTATCGGAGATTTGTGTACCCCCAACAAATTCTTCTCTAATTACCACATTCTTGCCTGTTTCTAATATTAATTCGTCTAACGGGGAATAGAAAGTCAATCACTCATCGAAAACACAAATTTGTTATTAGTACAGGCGTCAACAAATGCAACGCAAAGATGAAAAGAAGCGATCAAATAGGAATTGAATAAACAAATCAGAGGCTTATTTTGATGGCTAGATCAAACAAAAGCTTAGATTGTGTGTAACCGATTTACTTTTTGATGTTTAACAGTTGAAGAGATAGTGTTGGCAAGATGCCCCTGGTTTGGCTTAGGTTCCATGTTTGTTGATAGTCATCAGCGAGATGTGTTTTAATGTGTAACTTTGAAGGAACTGACGTAGCCATCCTTTGAGATTTGATCTCACAGTACTGGCGTCTGTGGTACAGCAGTTAAAGGCGCTCGCTGATCATGCGCATGGTCCGACGTTCGATCTCCGGCCACCGATGCACTCCTTTACCTCGCTAAGCCAGAAATAATGCTGGTAAAGAGGAAAGGTTGGGCATGAGGCTGGCTAGCAACCCCATCCTGTAAAAGTAAACACTGCTGCTACAGAAACTTTAAGCCACTAGCTTGGGGCCCTATGTTCCACTGGGAACGCAAAGGAAAGAAGGTGTATTGCACCCAGTACTGTATTCAGAGATGTTACCACTGAGGTATGTGGGCTAATATCTGACCTTCTGTAATCGATAGACCGATTAGATATGATAGAGAAGATTTGTAGCTCAGGTGGATAATTTTGATAATTTTACAACAGCAACAACCCAATAACACACAAAAGGAACTGTATACAAACACTATTCAAGAGAGCAAGGACTCACTGCAGCACTCCCACCTTAAGAAAATTTGAAGAAAAGTATCTCATGGACGTCTTCCAAAAGAATGGATATCCACGGAATTTCATCAAGAGACATATACCCCCAAGCCAACCTACCAAAACAAAAGCCACCAAGGAAAACACAAAGAAAATCGCCTTACCATATATAAAAGATGTTTCAGAAATCACTACAAGACTCTTCAAACCTTTAGGAATTGACGTCGTACACAAACCAACAAAGTCGCTGCACTCAATTCTATGTCAACCAAAAGACTCAACAGCAAAAGAAGACAAAACCAACATCATCTACAAAATAAACTGTAACAACTGTGAAAAACACTACATTGGCCAAAGTGGACGTCCCCTTTGTCTTCGTATCCACGAACATAAGCTAGCCGTCAAAAGACATGATATCCACTCCCTTATATCGCCTCACTAGATACAGACAACCACGGACATCTATTTGACTGGGACAACCAGCGTTCAAATATTAGACAGAGGAAACAACAAGAATGCTAGAGAATTTTTAGAAGCTTGGCTTGGTATTCCAGTGAATCATCAATCAATAGACACATCGAGATAGACAAAATTTATCAACCAATAAGAAATAAACTTCACACACGATTGGCCAAAGTTCAAGTCACAGAAACAATCAGTTCCAACACAAGTAACCTAGAAGGTGTGAAAACATACATAAACAACCAATCACGTTCAAGGTCACCAGGAGGAATGATTAATAAACTCGTGGAGAAACCTAAAAGCTCACTTCAATTTGAAGTATGCGCTGAAGATGTCACCTAGAAGGGCGATGAAAGCTTCGCAAACTAACCATCCAGCTCAGAGAACAAAACCACATCAAAATAGACCGATTAG